TTCATTTGATGTTCTAGGGTTTCAGGATTGTTGATTCTCTGTTTGGCTTAGTTTTTCGGATCTTTGTTGTGGAGGGACGGCGTGGTGTTTCTGCCTAGAGCGCCATCTTGCCGGAAGTCCATAGAACTGATCATTTTTTAGGATTACTATTCTTTAATCTATGAAAGGCTAAGTGCTTTAATGAATTTGTAATTTTTAAATAGTGGAATTTATTTCTGGTATCCATTTGAATAAATATATCAAATTAGAGATAAAAAAATTGTGAAAATTAAAGGAAAAAAAGAACTTTATTCATTTCCTAAACAAAAAAAAATTTTGAGCAAAACATGTTATATACTTTAAATTCTTGAAGTTTTGTGAATTTAATTTCAAAGGTAGGTATATTAGCTATCTGTTGCTCTGTAACACATTATCCCAAAACAGTGTCTGAAAACAACATTTATTGTATCACAGCAGGCATTTGGGAGTTGCTTAGCTGAGGGCTTCTGGCTCAGGGTCTCTGTCATGGTTTGAATTATGTCCCCCCAAAAAATGTGTGCATCAATTTGGCTGGGCCATGATTCCTAGAATTGTGTGGTTGGCCTCCATTTTGTGATTGAAATTTTATGTTAAAGAGGACTAGGGTGGGATTGTAACACCACCTTTACCCAGGTTACATCCCTGATCCAATGTAAAGGGAGTTTCCCTGGGGTGTGGCCTGCACCACCTTTTATCTCTCAAGAGAGAAAAGGAAAGGGAAGCAAGCAGAGAGTTGGGGACCTCATACCATCAAGAAAGCAGTGCCAGGAGCAGAGCGCGTCCTTTGGACTGGGCTCCCTGCGCCGAGAAGCTCCTAGTCCAGGGGAACATTGATGAGGAGGCCAAGAGAGAGAGAAAGCATTCCCCTGAAGCTGACTCCCTGAATTTGGACTTTTAGCCTACTTTACTGTAAGGAAATAAACTTCTCTTTGTTAAAACCATCCACTTGTGGTATTTCTATTAGAGTAGCGCTGGAAGACTAAGACAGTCTCTCAAGAGTTAAGTGGGTAAGCCAGGGCTGCAGTCATCTGAAGGCTTGACTGGGACTGGAGGATCTGCTTCCAAGATGGCTCACCAGCGTGGCAGTTGGCAGAAAGCAAGAGGCTTTAGTTCTCCACTGCGTGGACTCTCCATAGACTGCTTGAATGTACTCATGACATGGCAGAACAAGTGATCTGAGAGAGAGCAAGCAGGAAGCTATCTTGCCTTCTGTGACCGAGTCTCTGAGTTATACGCTTCTCACTTTTGCTTTTTTTCCTACAGAACTGAGTCATTAAGTTCAGCCCATACCCAAGAGGTGGATTAGGCTGCCCCTTTTGAAGGGAGTATCAAAGAATTTGTGAAGATATTCTAAACCACCACAGTTGGCCTAAAAGGTGACATAACATAGTCTTATCTTCCCTGAAGGCTTCAAAACTTTCAGCAGGTTTACACATGATCCTAAAGTGTCCAAATTGAATTTTTAGAATATAGACCACTGAAATTGAAATGTAGAATCATAGAATTTTGAGTTGGAAGGGACCTGATTGTGACCTCTCATCACACAAATGAAAAAATCAAGGTGGAAGAGGTTATGTGATGGTACCCAAAAAATCCCATTGCCGTCAAGTCGATTCCGACTCTTAGTGACCCTACAGGACAGAGTAGAACTGCTCCATAGGGTTTCCAAGGAGGGCCTGGTGGATTCGAACTGCCGACCTTTTGGTTAGCAGCCAAGCTTAACCACTGCACCACCAGGGTTTCCTATGTGATAGTAGTAGTTGTTAAGTACCATGCCGGTTGTTGACATTATGTTAGGACGAATACCTCAGATCTCCTGACTTGTAGATGAGTGCTTTTTCTGACGTACTCAGAGTAATGTCCTTGATGTTCTGCACTGGAACTTGGTATTCAATTCTCTCTCTCTCTCTGTGTTCTCTCTGTCGCTCTCTCTCTCTGTGTGTGTGTGTGTAGGAGAACTCAGAACTAGAACATCAAAGCCTAACTAGACAATTACCTATCTTCTAGTTTTATTTTCTTTGCATAGCTAAAGGAAGAATTTTAATGCAAACATAACTTTCCCCCTAACTTCTAAGAAGCAGAGTATTACTCTGCCAAGAGAGGTTTAGTGAGATTATGCTCTGTTTCTTGATATGGCAGAATTCCAGGCAAATGTGTGAAGGAGTGAGCCTTAGTGCCATATGGGATCTACAAAGACCTGCGCTGCCGCTTCCACCTTGAAACACTTAAGTGAAAGGAGTTTCTTAAACCTGTTAAGTGTGTGTTCTTAATTTTTTAAAATCTCTCGGAAAATCTGCATAAATTATAGCTTCGTATCTCTAGAATAGTGAGGCAAAACATTCTTTAGGAAAAAATTTTTTGAGCTTGAATGTGAATGGTTTGATACTTCTCAGAAAAATTAATCCTGTGACAAAACTAATTGGGGTTCTGTTTGTTTTCAGCGATGCGTATATTTTCTGATTTACTGGCCTTTGGCTGGTTTTCTTGGTCAATTTTCCTTTGGAATTGCGACCAATCGTCTCCACTGTGCCTCCTGCCTCCTGGATGCATGATAAAGTTCTTAGGATATTTGAAAATTTTAGAAGATGGTACACATGCAAAAAGTGCTTGAGAATGTTTGTTTTCCTCTCCCTAATCAAAATTTCTGTTCCAGGTTCTTCCGCAGCTTGGGCCCTGGCTGCCAGTGCCAGATGGCACCATTTCTGAGAGAAGAGCTAGCTTTTGCTCAGAAGTAATACCCACAAACAATGCCAAATTAGCATAAGCAAATGTCAGTGAGTTAACACAAAGCCAATACTCTTTCTGTCTTTTCTTTCCTTCCTAGGCCATGGGTGTTGAGAGTGACCAGGAAATTGTGCAGATGATTGGAACGGAGGAGCACGTGATGGCTGCATTTGGGCCCAGTTTGGAAGAGTGCCAGAAAGCTCAGATTTTCACACAGATGCAGGTGTGTCTTTTCATGTTGTGCTTTGCTTTGAAATGGAATTGGAGATTTAATGCCGCTCCTTGATAAAGCATCAGATGCAATGACTTTCGAGGGTGTACATTCTGTAGAGGTGCTGGCGAGATGGCAGGAGTGAGAAGCTTCTTTGATGATATAGACTGGAGGAAAGAGTTTGCCTAGACAAATTATCACCCTATGGTGTTTAACTTAGAAAGGGAATATGTGACCAAGAGGTTTTTCTAGTATAATAGCAAGTACTGTTTTGTTTTCCTTATTTGCTTGACGATTTTTTTTTTTTTTAGTCTATAGCAACTCTCGTAGAAGGTTTTTTTTTTTTCATGCATTTATCCTTAATATCCTTTTTCATTCTCTTCTTCCAGTTGCTTTAGGCATCCAATTGTGTATGGTCTGTATCCCTTTTCCTGTATTGCCCATGTTACTTCAAGCAGCGAGAAAGGCCTAGGGGCAGAGTCCCATTTACCACTACAGCCTTCACTGACCTGCATAGGCACTCCTGGTTGGAACCTGGGAATTTTAGAACAAGACTCAAAGATGCAGATAGGGAGCAAAATATAGTAAACATGATTGTACTTCCTTCCCCACAAGGGAGAGAATCCTAGCAGGCATACTTAGGATTTTTAGCCCCACATTTGTTAAGTGCTTTGCTAAGTGTAAATCTGTGGTAATGTTCCCCATAGCCATCCTGGGAAGTAGGAATTCCCTATTATAGAACCACAAGAGACAGTTCTTATTTATTCATATGTGCAACATCTATTCTGTGGGTTATAAATTCCAGGCTGATTTTTGCCTGTCACCCAGGATGCTTGTAGAGATAGCATTTCTTCACTTATATCCGTTAGTGTTTGTTCTGACAAATCAAACCAGTCATGATATTTTCATAAACTAAGCCAAACATTTGTTGTTAAGTGTTGTCGAGTCAGTTCTGACTCACAGAGATCCTATATACAGCAGATGCCTGATCCTGTGCCGTCCTCACAGTCGTTGCTGTGTTTGAGCCCATTGTTGCAACCACTGTGTCAATCCATCTCGTTGAGGGTCTTCCTCTTTTTTGCTGATCGTCTACTTTACCAAGTGTGATGTCCTTCTCCAGGGACTAGTCCCTCCTGATAACATGTCCAGAGTACTTGAGATGAAGTCTCACCATCCTTGCTTCTAAGGAGTGTTCTGGCTGTACTTCTTCCAAGACAGATTTGTTTGTTCTCCTGGCAGTCCATGGTATGTTCAATATTCTTCACCAACCCCATAATTCAAAGGTGTCGATTCTTCTTCGGTCTTCTTATTCATTGTCCAGCTTTCACGTGCGTATGAGGCGTTTGAAAATACCATGGCTTGGATCAGGCGCACGTTAGTGCTCAAAGTGACATGTTTGCTTTTTACATTTTAAAGAGGTCTTTTGCAGCATATTTGCTCAATACAGTACGTCATTTGATTTCTTAACTGCTGCTTCCATGGGCATTGGTTGTGGATCCAAGTAAAATGAAATCCTTGACAGCTTCAGTCTTTTGTCTGTTTATCATGATGTTGCTTATTGGTTCAGTTGTGAGGATTTTTGTTTTCTTTATGTTGAGCTATAACCATACTGAAGGCTGTATTCTTTGATCTTCATCAATAAGTGCTTCAAGTCCTCTTCACTTTCAGCAAGCAAGATTGTGTCATCTGCATAACGCAGGTTGTTAAAGAGTCTTCTTCCAATCTTGATGCTGCGTTCTTTTTCATATAGTCCAGCTTCTTGGTTTATTTGCTCAGCATATAGATTGAATAAGTGTGATGAAAGGATACAACCCTGACATACATCTTTACTGATTTTAAACCACGCAGTATTCACTTGTTCTGTTCGAATGACTGCCTCTTGGTCTATGTACAATATAATCCCACAGCACAAATCATTAGGGATTATTCTCATCACTGCTTTCCTCTTTTTCTCAGTTATTTAGTGCATTTTACTACAGACATCATCGTAGTTGGCCAAATAACCCTAGCTTTATAAAGCTTTTCGAGCGGGGGCTAAACTGAAGTTTAGAAAGTCATTGATTTATTTCTGTTAAATAGATACTGACAGAAATTTTCAGCTAACTGGTTGGAGCAGATCAATTAAAAGATAGGAGGAATTTAAAATTAGTTAATGTAAAAAAGGCAAATGTTTCTTTTCCCCCACCAGGAAGTAAAACTGAAGGTGTTTGTACTCTGTATAGTGGACTAAGGCCTAGATTAATTATTTGCAACTAATTATAGGGTCACTATGAGTCAGAATTGACTCGACGGCAATGGGTTTAATGACAGGGTGCAGAGGCACAAGCAATCCAAAGTGGTTGATAAGTTGAACACATATTACTAATTATGACAATAGGGATATTCTGTTTTTCTAAATGAAAATATAGCATGTATACGTTATCTTATGTAACAGAACTTTAATGGCGTGACGCTTTAGTGGGTTTTTTGTTTTTGTTTTTTAATGCCTCCCTTTGGATAGGCTCCTTTTTAATCTCTTCTGTATTTCTTCTGTTTCATGAAGCCTTCACTCCATGTTGGTGATGTAGGTTTTACGTCATCATTACCAAGGGCTCTGGCATGTAGAGGAGAAATGATTTATTACCTTTCTTTTTGGGCTGGGATGCATTGGGGGTGTCACCTTGACCTGTTTATGAATAGGTGAGGCTCTTACTCCAACCCTCACAACATGAAGCCCTGACACCATTGTTAGGTATTCAAGGGAAAGAGGGACTTTCTGCTGCATCAGAAGGGATACCATGCTCCCCTTCATCCCCATTTCTTCTTCAAAGAAGTATGAAGGATCTTTAGCGTTTATCCCTAGGGAACTATAAGGCCAAAATTTAAAGAGGACAGTTCACTTTAGGAAAACTAGAACTGCCTGTCTACTCATGGTTCTTACCAGTTGCTGACTTGCTGTAATCAGTCACCTCAGTTCCTGCTTCACACTAGGTCACTGCAGCAAGTGTTCTTAGGGCCTTAAGCTTATCTGCACACCAGTGGCCTTTTAATAGGGAAGATCCTAGGTTTGATGTCCACATCTTATCACAGGGAGTTGCATTCTGTCCCAGGCACTATGCTAGTCATTGGGAGTCACAGAAAAAGGTGACAGGCCCCCACCCCCAAAGTCTAGTAGGAGAAGCAGACATGTAAATAGATAATTAAAATATAGTGTGATATGAACATGAGCGAAAGTCCAATTCTTTATACATAAAGAGTTAAAATGGCAGAGGAGAAGTAGCAGGGTTAGGAAAGGCTTCAGAGAGGAAGTGATACTTGATCTAGGTTTTGAAGCTTGAAAAAGAAACTTCCAGGCAGGTAATTGGGGACAGGGATCCCAGGAAGAAGAATCAACAGTCCCAGCCTTTTCTTCTGACTAATTGAGTGTTAGTTTTTTAAAAAGTATTTTGTTGTTATGAAGTCATAAGAACCATACAGTCCTCTTTTTCAAAAAAAACTTTTTATTATGGAAAAATTTCTGCATATGTAAAGTGTACAGAATAGTATAATGAACCCTCATGTACCTGTCACCCATCTTCAACAATTACCAATCCTGCTGTTCTTGTTTCTTCTAAATCTCCACTCACTCCTTGATTTTTTTAATAGTTCATTCTTTTTTGGGGGGGTAAAATTTACATACACTGAAATGTACAAATCTTAATTATATAATTTTTACAAAATAAAGAACATTTCTGTCACCTCAGAAAGTTCCTTCATGCCCTTCTTAGTCAGTCTTCACTCCACCCTCTGAATTTTTTTCCCACTCTTCCAATTTTTTTTCCATATATTAGTTTTGCCTGTTCTTAAAGGAAAATAACCTGTTGCTGTCGAGTGGATTCTGACTCCTAACAACCTTATAGGACAGAGTAGAACTGCCCCACAGGGTTTCCAAGGCTGTAATCTTTCAGAAGCAGACTGCTGCATCTTTCTCCTGAAGAGCAGGTGGTAGGTTCGAACCGCTGACCTTTTGGTTAGCAGCCCAGCGCTTAACCACTGCATCACCAGGCCTCCTTTTGCCTGTTCTAGAACTTTGTATATATACGTAGAATTGTGCAGTATATACTCTCTTGTGTCCAGCTTTTGTTGAGCATATTGTCTGAGATTTATCCAAGTTGTTCCTTTTTATTTCTTTTCTGTGTCATTTAAGGAGCCCTGGTGGCGCAGTGGTTAAGCATTTGACTGCTAACCAAGAGGTCAGCAGTTCGAATCCACCAGCCGCTCCTTGGAAATCCTGTGGGGCAGTTCTGCTATATCCTGTAGTGTCGCTGTGAGTTGGAATTGACTTGACAGCAACGGGTTTTTCAACAGGTTTATGTCGTTTGTCCATGTAGATTGTTCCTTTTTATTGCTGAGTAGTATCCAATTGTATGGTTATACCACAGTTTATCTGTTTTCCTGTTGATAGGCATTTGGTTTGTTTCAGTCTTTGGCTATTATCAATAAAGCTGCTGTATACATTCCTGTACGTGTCTTTGCCTGGGCATGTTTTCATTTATCTTGGATAAATACCCAGGAAGGAAATTTCTGGGTCAAAGAGCAGGTTTGTGTATAACTTTCTAAGGAACTGCCAAACCTTTTCCCAGAGTTATTGTACTATTTTATATTTCCTCCAGCAGTGTATGAGACTTTCTGTTGCTTCACATCCTCACCAGTATTGGGTGTTGTCAGTCTTTAATTTTAGCCATTCTTGTGGGTGTCTGGAGTCCCTGGCAGTACAAACAGTTAAGTGCTTGACTATTAACTGAAAGGTTGTGGCTCAGACCCACCCAGAGACACCTCAGAAGAAAGGCCTGGTGATGTGCTTCTGAAAGTTCACAGCTTTGAAAACACTGTGGAGTGCAGTTCTACTCTGACACACATGGTGTTGCCATGAGTCAGAATCAACTTGATGACGACTTTGTTTTTTTTGTTTTTTGTTTTGGTACTAAGCATCTCATTTGTGGTTTTAATTTGTATTTCCCTGATAACTAATGATGCTGAACACTTTTTCATGTACTTATTGGCCTTTTGTGTCTCTTTCTTTGTAAAGGGCCTGTTTAAATCATTTGTTCATTTTTCTTATTGGGTTGATTGTCTTTTTATTGAATTTCTGAGTTTTTTTTTAAAGTACCCTGGCTATAAGTCCCTTGGTCAGATTTATGTATTATTGTGAATATTTTCTCACAGTCTGTTATTTCTCTATTCATTTTATTAACTGTTTATTTTATTTTTTGATGAGCAGCTTTTAATTTTGATAAAATTATCATGAGTTTTTGTGTTTGTATGTCTTTTATGGTTATTGTTTTCTGTGTCCTGTTTAAAGAAGTCTTTACCTACCTCAAGGTCAGGAATATATTCTCTTATGTTTTCTTCTAGAAGCCTTATAGTTTTTACATTTAGGTCTAAAATCTGTCATAAGCTATTTTTTTTAATTTGGTGTGAGGTAGGGGTCAAGGTTAATTTTTTACTTATGGATAGCTAATTGTTTCATCACAAGGTGTTGAAAAGACTTTCCCTTCTCCCATTAAATTGCTTTGGCACTTCTGTCAAAAATCAATTGACCATGTAAGTTTGGATTTATAGTTGAAATCAGGTAATGTAAATCCTCCAATTTTTCTTTTTTAAGATTGTTTCAGCTATCCCGTTTCTTTGCATTTGCATATAAATTTTTGAATCAGCCTGTCAATTTTTACTTAAAAGCCTACCAAGAGAATAATTAGCAATTATGATAAGTCTGTTGGCCAATTTGGAGAGAATTTTAACAGTGTTTTAACAGTAAGTCGTTTTAACAATATTGAATCTTCCAATCCATGAAAATGACATAATCCTCAATTGTTTTACCTTTTCTTTTGTCTCAGCAATGTTTTGTAGCTTTTAGTTTAATTTAGAAGTCTTACAAGTTATGATTCCTTTTTGAGGGAAAAAAATACTACCCTAAAATGTTAATTGTGATTCTTTCTGAGTTGGGGGTCAATGGCTACTTTTTCTACGTATTTTTACTTATCTACATTTTCTAAATTTTCTATAATGATCATGTACCAATTTTATAGTAACAAAACAAATTATAATATAAAAAAAAGGACCTGTGTATTATACAGTATGTTGTGCTATTTTGTCATTGACTCCTGACAAATTTTGGTTTTTTGACTAGCCCCAGTGCAGCCTTCTGTAAAACCAGTGTCCTTTTCTTTTTTGCTTATATTGTTATGTATGGGTAGGTGCTTAAGAAATTATCTTTGATAATGAAGTCATTCAGACGTTATTATAATATATTCTATTTTTTATAGGCCTTGAAGTATATAGGGAACAAAGTAAGAAGACAAAGGATGTGGGGAGGTGGACCAAAGAAAACTAAAATTGAAGAAGCGAGAGAGCTCCTGGCTTCTACCATTCTGACCCACGTACCTGTGAGTAATGCCTTTGCATCTGTGAATGATGATGATTGTGGGGTCCATGAATTACTGTTAAAGAATTGTGGATAAAAGTTTATGTTGTTTAAAGTCTCCTTTCTTAGGAACAGAGAGAATCCTAAAGAGGACTGTTCTGCCCCGCTGGAAGTGATCTTCCATTATTAGTAGTTTATTTGTACTCAGAGAATATTAGCTATATTATCATCATCATCATCATGTTTATTCTCTCATGGTTCTATCTTGAGTTATAGTTATGTTATATTCATACACTTATTAGTGCTTCTTTTAGATTTCATGGTTTTGTAGGACAGAGATGTTCTTATAAGTTTTTAAATAAATTAAAACCAGCTTACAGTGTGGCTTGTCCATATAGCTACTTTGTAAAATGTTTATTGGATGAGCTAATCTGCTAGACCTTGAATTTCAGAGTTCACATTGTCAGACCTCCTTCACTTACGTGAAGATGCTCAGATCTAGACAGGCTAGATGATTTGCCGTGTCACCTAGCTGGTTTGTGGTCAGAGCGAGAGCTAGACTCCATCTTCTGACCCTTAAACCAGTGCTCAATATTTATCTTTTATTAGCTTATCATTAAACAGAGATTGGCCATTTTGACATGTAGGCTGTTGGCAAGTCAATATAATTGCCACTATTTCTAAGTTATAGAATTATTATTTGTTAGTCAGACTATCTTAGAAACCTAATGGTCTGGATTATAGTTAGTTACCATGTGCACTCTTCATGAATGATGTAATTCCAGGGTTGTAAAAGAATGGAAAGTTGAGAGATTTGTGGAAGTGGAGATTAACCTCCTAAATGCACTCAAAGTCACTTTTCTTATTTTAAAATTTCTTGCTGGACAAATAATACAGGTCTCTGATTCAGCCCTTTGACTGCCATTTGTATGTGTCCTTGATCTAATTCAAAGAATTAGCGAATGTTTAATGTTAAAGCTGTATCTGAACTGAATTTTAAATCTTCTGGATGTTTGGAAAGACAGTTTAAAACTCAGAAATAATAACACATATATAATGAAAACAATAATGGCTTTTGAGACAGAGAGATGAGGGTTCAAATCCTGCTTTCTTACTTCCTAGCTAGTTTACTTTTGGCAAGTCTTAACTTTTCTGAGCTTTAGTCTTCTGATCCGTGTATTGAAAATCATACCACCTCCTCACAAGGTTTTTGTGATGATTCAGTGATATAATGTACCTGAAGCTTCTTGTTTTCCCTAGCTGCAGGACATGGCCATAGAGTCTCCATTAGACGCCTCAGGCACCTTTGTAGTATAACTAAGGAGAACTTTTTAAAGAGCCTTAGCATCATTTGCATTTTTCTGTTGGTGCAATGAGTCCAAACTACCATTTGAAAAGTTTGGTTATACATAATTCAGTGGAGTAAAGTCAGAATAAGTGAACTAAGAAAAAGGCCTTCATTTTCCAGAATGGTTTAGGGCAGTATTTGGCCAAGTGTGATCTAAGAGATGATTTTAGATGATATAGTTATGTTTTTATTTGAGTAATTTGGATTTATTACCAAAAAAAAAAAAACCCACAAAAACTAGCATGTCAAACCTATGTTTTTATGGTTGATGCTTACTTAAGAATGAGTTGTTTAAATATTTTATAAATAACTATTTAAGTATCATGGGGTATGTCAATAACCATGATAGTGAAACTTGAGTGACTAAATTTGAAAAGCACTGGTTTAGGTGTGTCTGTGTAAAGGGAGAAGGACAGGCAGGATGTTCTGCAGTCCCCAGCACCTGTACTTGAGGGTGGCCTGCAGAGGCCTTTGGCTTAAGACCCTGGCCTCTGTGATCCTCGGACGTATTGGTTCTCAAAGAGCATTTTCCAGACCAGAGTAACATTAGCGTCACCAGAGAACTTGTTAGAAGTTCTTGGACTTTACCCCACACCTACTGAATCAGAGTATCTTGGGGGAGGCCTGGCAATCTGTGTTTTAACAAGCTCTCCAGGTGATTCTGATGCACCCTGCAGTTTGAAAACCACTGTTCTGTGGGTTTCCTCAGGATACCTAAGTCACAGACATCTCCTTCCTCCAAGGTGATATTAAAAGGACTCCAGAGTTCTGGTGACACCAATTCTATTTTAGTGTTCTAAGCTCATTTACTAGATCTTCTTTCTCTCCCTCTTTAAGATAATCCACAGATTAACATCCCACAAAAGATAGCTGAACCACTGTTGACATTCTGGTAAAAAGTGATGTGAGCCTCTAGATTAGTGTTCCTACTGGGAATAGTCTTGGAAAAAATGTACTAAGTATTAGCTCTTTATTTCAGTTTAGACCTAGGGTTTGCATTTTAGCATATAGTGGTTAAAAAGGGGAGACATGAGTTAGGGTTCAAGTGCCTTATAAAGTGTAGCAAGAGCATCTGCTAAAAATACCCATATTTATTTCTATTTTTAAAATGTTACTGGGGGAACTTGCCAGCATTTATGCAAAAAGAAAATTTGAAGACTGAAAATTTGGTTAATGAAAATTTGCTTCATTTTTCTCATTAATAAAAAAGTAAAACAAGTAGAAGAGTTACATGTTTAATGTAGCTTACCACACTAAGATCAGAAAAAGGAAGTGTAAATTAGATGTATCTGAATGGAGAACCTTACAGTTTTGTAAGTATCAGTTGGGAATGTAAATCAGCTCATTGTTTTGGTAACTGGTGTTATGGTTGTAGGTTTTTTGAGGATGGACAAGAGACCTTTCTTTTAAAGACCAAGATTTATTCTAACCTTTTTTCATTAGATGTAATTGTCCTGTGGGTACAAGAAGACAAAGCAGCTTTTAGGGCCACTTTTTCTTTTAACACATTTCAAAGTTCTCAGTAGTAGACGGAATAAATTGACCTAAAGAAGAAATGAAACTTCCTTTGATGGAGAATAAACTTTTTGAAACACATACAGGATTTCTAACATCTTGTATTATTTAGTGGAATTCCTTTACAGCAATAACAAGTATGTGAAAGAACGGTTGCTGCTGTTATTTTAAATCGAGATCCTCTAGATTGTTCTGTCATAGTAGTGAGCTTAATGAAAGGATCTTATTGGGACTTAAACGATTATATGGTAAGTAAAAGGGAAATTTTATAATATTCTGTATGGACGAGCTATAAAATATTTTTTCAGATTGGCAGTAGCTTAGGCCACACTCTCAGAGTTCATCTGTTTTGGATGTTGAGATAGACTGTAACTAGATGCTAAGTTTTTGTCTTCCCAAACAAACCAGTGAAATTATTTAAACAGTCCTGATTTGTCTTGCTGACTGAGCCAGATTCATTCATGTAGATTTCAGGATTTGTACTGGAGAAGATTTAATAGAACGTTTGTAGCAAAATCATCTCTCCATCCGTCCATCAATCTCTCCATCCATTCATCCATGCATCCGTCTATCCAACAAGTATTTGTTGCGTGTTAGACAGCATTTTAGTACTGTTCATGTTACCTCTTGCTGTAGAACAAATGATTCCAAAATTTAGTGGCTTAAAATAAATGTTTATTGCTATCTCTCATGGTTCTGTGGTTTGACTGGCCCCAGCTGGGCAGTTCTTATTTGAGTCTCTCGTGAGGTTACAGACAGATAGCAGCTGGGACTAGAGTCATTTGAAGGCTCAACTGGGTTGGACATCCAGGATGACTTCTTCACTTGTATTTCTGGGTCCCAGTGCTTTTTCACGTAGCTCTCTCTTCAAAACAGAGTGCCCTAGACTTCTTACATGGTGTCTCGGGACTCTAAGAGAAAGAAAGTGGAAACTGCCAGTCTACTTGAAGGCTAGGCCTGGAATTCACATTGTATCATTTCTGCTCTATTTTCTTGGTCAAACTAATCACAACCCAATCACATACAAGGGGATGGTGGACTCCACCTTTTGATGAGTGGCATGAGCATACAGAAAGGGAAGGAAATGATGGTGGCCATCCTTGAAGACAAGCTACCAGAGGTACTTAGATGAAAAGGCGTCATCTCAGCTCTCACGGAGCTTACAAACTAGTTGAATTTCTTTGAATAGGGAGAATCATAACAATTCAGTGTTTTCTTATTTAAATGTTAAACTATTCATCTTTTATTGAGGCACCTTTACATTTTAATGTGCGTTGTCTCAAAACTTTTCTCCAATTTTTGAATTACAGGTTAAGGAATTTAACTTCCGAGCCAAATGTATCTATACAGCAGTGATGGTACGAAGAGTGATCCTGGCCCAAGGAGATAATAAAGTCGATGACAGAGACTATTATGGCAACAAACGATTGGAATTGGCAGGACAGGTGATTTAATTATTTTACATCAAAAGTCTTATTTTGTTTCCTTTAATAAAAAGCTAATTTGTTATTTACTTTAGATAAGAGGAAGAGATGGTGAAATGGAATACAGTTAGCAGATGTTTGAAGTATAAGCATTCCACACATGACTTGCCATCTCCTAGACTTAAGCATTTCCTTAACTGTAAAAACTATACATTAATTCTTTATTTAATAGTATATTACCTATACCATATCTTTTGTTGATGTGTTTACCCTCATTTTCTGATGCAAGAAGTAAAGTATGACTTTAAGCAATATCATTTATTCAATTAACAAATATTTATTGAGCACCTATTATGTGTCAGAGTACCTGGGTGGTCCAAATGGTTAAGCACTTGGCTACGAACCGAAAGGTTGGTGGTTTAAATCACCCAGAAGAAAGGTTTTTAAAGAGGTACCTAGTGGGGGTGACTTTCTGTTGTTATTCTGCTTGGGATTCATGGAGTTCTTAAATTTATAAATTTATGTCTTACTAAGTTTGAGAAATTTTCAAACTTTGTTTCTTCAAATATCTTTCTGCTCTGTTTTCTCTCTCCTCTCCTTCTGACTCGCATTGTTAGATCTTTTGATATTGAAGCTTTATTCATTTTTTGTCAAATTCTTTTTCTTCAAGTTGAATGATTTCTATTGATCTATTTTCAGTTTCACTTACTCTTTCTTATGTTATCTTTAATATGCTATTACATTCACCTAGTGAATTTTTTATTTCAGGTATTGTATTTTTCAATTCTGGAGATTTCATTTGGGTCATTTTTTATAACTCCTGTTACTCTATTGAATGCCTATTATGTGTCGGAGTCCTTGGGTGGTGCCAGTGGTTAAGCACTGAACTACTAACTAAAAGGATGGCAGTTCAGACCCACCCAGAGGCACCTTGGAAGTAAGAGCTGGTGATCTGCTTCCAAAAGGTCACAGCCTTGAAAACCCTGTGGAGCAGTTCTACTCTGCACACTTGGAGTTGCCATAAGTCAGAATCAACTCGACAGCATCTAACAACATGTCTCTACTGAGATTTTGTATCTGTTCTTATGTCACAAGTACATTTTCATTTACATACTTAAATTTTAATAGCTACCTTAAAATCCTTGTCTGCTAACTTTAACATCTCTGTCACTTTGGGGCCACTCTTTTGATTATCTTTTCTTGTGAGTATGGGTCATGTTTTTCTGTTTATGTGTTTTATAATCTCGGATTATGACCTGTTGGATACTGTGAATGATTAGTTGTAGAGACTCTGGATTCTGTTACATTCCTCTAAAGAGTGTTGGGATGGGTGTGTGTATATGTGTGTGTGTGTTTTAAGGCAGTTAGCTTGGTTGCAAACCTCTGGCTCCTGTCTGTTTGCAGCAGGCAGCTGCTGAATATCTGTTTAGTTCTTTCAGTCTTAGCTGGGCTGCTTGGAGTTTCAGGGGCAGCCGGAGATTTGGGCCAAGTTTAAATGAGGAATTTGGGATTTCCTCACTTTTCAGCTGCTGTGATAGTTCAGATCTTTTTCCTTTCTGACAAGTGTCCTCGTTTCTGCCTGTTTTTGGACACTCTCCAGTACCTTCAAATGGTTGATTTTTAATATTTTGTCCAGCATATAATTATTACCTACAGAGTGAGTCCATCTGATAGGAGCTACTCTACCAAAACATGGAAACATGCTAGTCTGCTTTTACAAATTTTTATTCCCTCCCATTGAACTGGCTTCTGTTTTTTTTTTTTGTTTTTCCTTTTTTAATTTTATTATGGTAAAATATATTTAACCAAGTTTGCCATTTTAACCATTTTTAAGTGTACAATTCAGTGACATTACTTACATTCACTGTGTTGTGCTACCGTCTCCACTATCCATTTCCAAATTTTTATATCACCTCAGACAGATACTCAATACTCCTTCAGCAATAACTCCGACTCCTTCCTCCCCCAAGCCCCTGGTAACCACTAGTAAACTTTTGTCTCTTATGAATTCTAGATACTTCATGTAAGTGGGATCATAACAATATTTGTCCTTTCATGTCTGACTTACTTCATTCAGCATAATGTTTTCAAAGTTCATCCATGTCATAGCATGTATCAGAATTTCATTTCTCTTTATGACTGAATAATATTCCCTTGTATGTATATGCCACATTTTGTTTATCCATTCATCTATTGATGGACACTTGGGTTGTTTACACCTTTGGTTATTGTGAATAATGCTGCAGTGAAAATTGGTGTATTCCATTGTTATACCATTATCATACTGTTTTAAATATATCACTGGTTTAATAGCATTTAATTTTTTATTATGTAATTTTTGAACATGCATGATTAAAATATGCAACATACTAAGTTTTGAAGGGTACAAATAAAATCAACATCCTTAAACCAACTTAAAAACTAGATGACTACTAATACCATTGCATTTACCTGTGTACTTCATCTTTATTCCATCCCTTTTCTTCCTTCCCCAGAGATCAGCTGAATTTTTGTATTTATCATCTTCCTGTTTTTAGTACATCATTAAGATGTTTAATTTTAAAGTTTTAAAATATTTTATAAATAATATATTGTAAGTTTTGTGTGCTTTTGAGCTTTATAAAAGTAAATTCATGCTATATATTGTCTTCTGCAACTTTTGTCTCCACTCAGCATTGTTTTTAAGATTCATCTATGTTACTGCATGTTGCTATAGTTTATTTTCATTTTTAAAATAATATTCCACCGTATGAACATACTTTATCCATTTTGTTGATCAAGGTTTTGCATGCTTTTTTTGCTATTAAGAGCAGTGCTACTATGAAGATTTTTAAGCAAGAGTTTCTATCAGTAGAATTGCTGGGTCATAAAGTATGCAAATGTTTAACTTTGCTGGATAATTTCTGACCATATACCATAGTATGTGTATTTTGCAGTGTACATGAGTTCCTGTTGGTCTTCATTCTCTCTAAGACTTGGTAAATTGTTAGTCTAACCAAAACCAAACCTGTTGCCGTTGAGTCCTTGAGTCGTTAGTCTAGTGGGTATAAAGTGCTATCTCCATGGTCTTAACTTGCATTTCTGTCATTACTGATGAGGTTGAGTATCTTTTCATATGCCTATTGACCATTACTATTTCTTTTTCCTTGAAATGCTTCCCAGGTTATTAGTCTTTATTGATTTCTAGGAGTTCCTTTGGATATTCTGGATCATAATCCTTTGCCAAACTCTGACTTACTTTTTAAACTTTCTGGTATCTTTTGATAAGTTGAACTTCTTAATTTTACTTGAGGTCAACTTTGTCAGTCTCCTTCCACCTTTCTTAAATAATTAGTGCCCTTTGTGTTTTAAACTCATGCCTTTGATATTTGGTCTTGAATCCATCTAGAATGGATTTTTGCATATGTTGTGACATAGGAATCCAATTTCATTTTTTTCCAAATGAATAACCAGTTATCTGAGCACCACTTATTATATAGTGTTTTCTTTTCCTCACTAATTTGTAATGCCACTTCTATGATATAATACATGTTGATATATGTGTAGGTCTGTTTCAGGACTCTGTGTTCTCTGCCATTGGTCAGTTTGCGCCTTCATCAGTCCCTTCACCTTCTTTTTCAGGAGTGTCTTGGCTTATTTGGGGGCCTTAGGTTTCTGTATAAATTTTAGGTTCAGTCTGTCGATTTTCATTAAATAGTCTCTTGGAATTTTAATTGGAATTGCATTGAATCAGCAGAAGAATTTGGGGACAAATGACATCTTTATTGTACTCTTGGTTTATAGACATTTCAGACCTGTGTGTGAATGTATGCTAAGTTTTAGGGCCTTCTTTGGAATCCTTTGTCAGGGTCAGGTTTGGAGATAGGCTTTACAATTTCAGAAGAAATCATATATAGGAACACTCTGTCCACGTTAGTATGAAACAAGTCTTCAAATCAGTATGTATGTCTGTGAACGTTTCTTGGCTAATACTGCCAAGCCCTCTTACTTAAGGAGGATTTAATCAGTTAAATGTGTCTGTTGCTACAGAAGTTGACATATATCTGCCTGTGTGTGCTTTTTACTTATGAAAAATTTCATACATATAAGACTATAACGTACGTGTGTGTATGTTGAGACTCATAAAGCCAATAATATTCACGTATCTCCATTAACTTAAGAATGAACACAGTACCTATACATTTGAATCTCCTCTGCACCCTCCCTGATTCTTCGCTGCACCTCGCATCTGCCTGTTCTGGAGGCTCTGGCCATCTGCCTGCCTACTCAACCTGGTGCAAAGCAATCCCAACACATCTCTAAGCATTTACTGTGAAGTTGGGTGAAGAGGCATAGGTCAGTTTCCCAGAAGCCTCCCTCAGCAGGCCTGAGCTTCAGATGTGGCTTTCAAAAGGCTTTTTAAAGTATGAAATCTTAATTGGAATCCCAGTATTAAAACAGATAAAAGTTCTGCCTCTCTGGTTGAGGAGGTATAAGGACTTTTTTCTCTGCCTACTTGCCCTTTCCCTGAAACTCCTCTGTGGAATTCCTAAACACAAGGTTTATAGGACGAAGTGTAGACTCTTTAGCACCTCTTGCAAGGTCCTTCGTGATCTTTGCCATACTCACCTCTCCAACCTCATCTTACACCAAGGCGAGCTGCTTACATCTTCCCGAAAACATCATGCTGTTTCATCCCTCCTTGCCTTTGAGTTAGTACTTCTGCCTGTGCGTCTCTCCTCCCACCCGCCTCCCAGCACCCCCACCCCGCACCACAGAGCTCGTACTCGTTCTTCATTCTTTGAGTCATCCTGTCTGAAACCACCTGTGAACCCCAGGCATCATGGATTGAATTATGTCCCCCCAAAAATATGTATATTAAGTTGGCTGGGCCATGATTCCTGGTACTGCATGATTTTCCTATATGTTGTAAATCCTACCTCTCTGATGTTAATGAGGGACAATGGGTGGCAGTTGTGCTAGTAAGGCAGGACTCAGTCAACAAGATTGGTTTGTGTCCTGAGGCAATCTCTTGAGATATA